GAATGCCAAAATAAGAAATACAGTAACTGCAACTCTTAAGGCAAATGCCTTTACTCAAACAAATTCAAGCACAGGATCTGGTCTTGTGTCATCATCATCAAGTAGGAGTCATATATACACATTAGAAGTATCCAAAGCAATAATATTAGCTAGACTGACAAGTAAAAAACTTGAAACTCAAAGGCTCTTTGAAGTCCTGTAAATAACTATTCCAGTAAAGGGGTACTTCCCTATACTATAAGTCTACAGCCACACTAGTATGCAATTGTTGAGTCAAGGTTCAGCCCCTCCATCCTTAAGAATCAAACCTTTTAATTTTTTTTTCATTTTTCCTTACTCTAAAACGATGCTGGCACTATGTAACTGAGACAGATGAAGCGAAAGAGGGCATTTTGTGTCAGAGACTAAAATAAAAATCCAGAATGTAAGAAGAAACTAGGAAAGAGAAAGGGAAGAAGAGGTCTTGAGCACATAAAACTGGAACATGAAGATCTTCAGTCATGTACTTGTCACACTATATATTTGAAGACCATCTAAAACTAGTCAGGAAAATAAGCACTACCAGAATAAGCATTATATCACATTATAGTATTTGTATATAAAGACAAATGGCAGACATGATGGAACACCTTACCTGTAAAACTGTAAATACTGTACTGACGTGAATTGCAAAATAGAGTACACCAATGACTATACACACAATCAGGTCAGACTGCAACCGTTCACTCTGGGGAGTCAAAACAAAATAATTTTAGAAAATGCTAGCTTTGGTTCTCCTCATCAGCAGTAACACTGAAACTGATTAAAAATTTTCAAGTTATGCCAGTGTTAATTACTTCCATTGAAGTTATCAGAAATTTCACAAGATAAATCTTATGACTAAAAGCATTAGTTCAAAAGAGTTACGTGGACAGATGCATACCCAAAGTGGGGCAGGAGAAATTAATATACCCAATATATTCTCTCTCTGATTCTGGACTGTGAGGGGGTATAAGGACCCCCCTAGAGCACTGATGAAAGAGCTGGAAGGGCTAACCAAATTTCCTATTTATGATCTAAGAATTGCTTAGACTCCGGAGCAATTAAGCTTTTGAAGACAGCTGCTTAGGCAGGGCTAACAAACAGGTAGAACAACCAGGCTCTTTAACCCTTTTTCCCTTTCCTTTGCAGAAGGGTAAAGGATAGCTTTGGAACGACCCCGAAGAATGAGTTTGAACTTTCCATTACCCCTAAAAAAGGCAAGCTGTTGATAAAAGGGCAAAAAATAACAAAACTAGGAATGCCAGACTCCGTCACAAGGGGGCAATACATACTCAGGGACACTACAAGTCTGCATCTCCAAGTTTAGACCCGTTCCCACTCTGTAAATACAGTATTAATATTTTCAGCCCAGAAAATCATTAAAGGATTAACTACTCCTAAATCGACCAAATAATTACACACAGCACTTATTGCTGCAAGGTCTTAACTTCTTGGGATACAACTCTTTTTTTAAAAAGAATCAGTAAGTCCTGATTTAAAAAACACTGAAAGAAAGAATGTATCATAATCCTCAGCTTCCCTGCCCCCTTGTCGACTAGCACCAGTTTGACAGCTAAAGAGGAGCTTGAGGCTCCTATGGTCATCCTCTCCTGTTAAGTGTTAAAAGAACTGCAGTTTCTCTGCTCAAAGTATTTCCTTGAGTTTCCACACGCTACACCTTGTCACACTTGTGCCTGCTGTACTAGGAGAAACCCATCTGTACTGTTATTCCCCTACAGCCAAGCCCTACACAAGGTTAAATGAACGTTCAGCCTTCTTTTGTACAAGTTAAACATACTAAGCTTCTTAAGTCTTTTACATTCTAAATGTTTTTCAAAGTAGTAATATTTAAACATTCTTTTTCACACAGTGGAGCAGAATGAATTTGTACTAAGAATTCATAGTATGTGCTAAAGTAAATGGAACAGGTTACATCTGCTTTTTAAAAACAAAACCAAAACACCCCTCCCCCCCCACCCAAAACCACTTTCCACCGATTTTATTTTCTGCTTCTGGAACAGTGCACACAAAGCTCTTGTTCACAATTACTAGAAATACTGAGTTAGTATAGTTTTACCACCACTAACTCCTGCTTTTGTGCAGGCATTAGTGGGAAGGTATCATTTATTATTATCAATATGAGCTAGAAGAAAATCCTTAACAATACTGCACTGAATTCACACTAGGGAATTCAGATTCTCTCACGTGCCTCCTTTTAAATAACTTAATTACAATATAAGCATTATACTCGTAGTATAGTACATTGGTTCATCTGCAGATTTAAAGGAAACGCTCTAATATCCATTCTAATTAACACAATAGTAATTAACAAGTATTGTGAGCTAAGAGCCAGACTGAGGCTATATACAAACCAACATAAAGTAAGTGCTTAGATTGAATTAAAAAAAATAATTTAAAAGCCTACTTACCACAGAATTTCTAAGCTTTTCAGGTAAAGGATCTTTTACTTCAGACAGAGGATCCTCAGGGTTTTTATCTTCAGAATTAGGAAAAAATTTTGATTGCACTAAAGAGCTTAAAGAAAGACACAAAAAAAAAGAACCCACTGAAAAGCATGTATTGTTCTAGGTGGTTTTAGAACAAAGTCAAAAGTTCTATTACAAGTAGATTACAAGAAGAAATAATCCTGGCATATTAGTGCTTTCACATGGCTGAGCAAATTTACAAAGATGAGATCTCAACTTTATGAAGTTTATTCTCTGGTTGCACACAATGACCACCATTAAAGATGAGTAGCCAGATGTTGTTCAAACAACAGTTTCTCCAGTACCAACAGGAGTAACTGAACAAATACTGAATTTTACGTGGAATTCTTAGTACTCATGAAACAAAAAAAATTAGTTCATAAGTAACTGAGCAGAAACGTAACGGTGCAAAGTTCAGAAGTGGTCTATTTGTCAATACCAATTAGAAAACCAAGAATTCCTTTGTTTAATTCAAAATTCAACAGTAACAAAAAAACCCCTATGCTACCCTGATTAATCCATGAATTAGCCATGCTGACTAAACTACTAAATTCTTAGCAAACTTTGCTGGTAACTAAAACCCAAAAAACTTACATCTAAGGTTTCAGAAGGCCATACGCAGCACTGCTAGCCATATGTGTCTCACAACCCCTCAATATGACTTTTCTTACAATACCTCATGTATACAGAAATACATATTACTTCGTTTTATGGACAGGAAGCTCACAACAGAATGAGTCCTGGATCTTCAAAGGCAATTACATATCGCAATGCTTAAGTGTGCCAAATCTGGCTAAAGAGATGAACCTGCAGGTCAAACATAAGCATCCAGGCTAAAGCTCTTCGAAAGACCAAAAGAACAGGTATCCAGGGACAAGGACCTCATACCAACTGAGTAAAGTCACCTGAACTAAGAGTAACAGGACAAGGTTTAGTTGTCAATCCATAAATAAGAATTTTCCTTCTGTGTGAACACTCACAAATCATTAATCTCCCTGTCCACAGAAGAGGCCCCTCACTATCTACCCCAGACTACTGTTTATCACATTCATCCAACATTATGGCTAAATTTAAATCCAAGTTCAAGCTCTGCCTAACCCAGGTGTGTGACTGAGCCTCTATTGGCTGTTCTGTGGGAGGGATTTCTCCTACTGGAACTATTTTGTTTTACACACATAATTATTAACTGAATCAGAAATACTCTCATCATCAGATCAATACTCCAACTCAGAATAGCAACACAAATACATGTTTGCCCCTGCTAGACAGGAACACTCATCACCAAAAGAAATCCTTATTGTTTTGCATCTGACATGAAATTATCTGAACAATTTGAGCATACATTCAAGATTAAAAACACAGTAACAAAATTAAGTGAGAGAAACAGTTTAAAAAAATCCACATGTGGGCTTCAGCTTAAACTACTGCATTGAGCACCTCTTTAAATATAGAACAGGTACAGGCTGTTTAGCACAAACGCATCAGCAGAAAGATGGCACCTGACTGGCATTTTGAAGAACATCAGCAGGCAGTTAAATCAGATTTTAGCATGTAAGTGATTTGCCAGAAGTCACAAAGAAACATTGTCGTTAGAGGAGGAACTAGGTGCAAAATCTGAGAATTTCTCTCTATTTAACCAATATCATACTATTTTTTATAATGCTGGTGACTACCAGTTCAAACAGTACTAATATTAATATTATTTATAATGTTCCTTTGTGACTTGCTTCTTCCTTGGGGAAGGGACACAAACTGAGTCACTTACAAAAGTACAGAGGGGTCACTACTTTGTCTGCTGAGATGATACGATATTGCCACTAACAAACCACAAAATATGGAGAAGAGAACTGGAATATGCTGCCCATCCCAAGAATCCTGGGAACAGAAAGGAAATGTTAATAAAGAGGAGACAAAGCATATAACACTTATCTGACATACAAGAATTATGTATATCATACTAAGAGAATGGAAAAATTAACTACAATTTCAGAAAAATGAAACAGGAATTTTAGTACAAAAAATATTGTTCAATATTTACCTGTGTCTAACAACAGATCAGAAACTCTAAGATAGTGTAGGCCTAAGGGATACACGCTGTCTTAATCATTAAACAGTCATCAGTTATCGTAACCCTCATGACAAGACTTTCCTGCAATCCTTGAGACCACAGGTTCTTAGAGTTGCATTTAGTTACTTCTTAATTTTGAAAGTTACATATGTTTTAATCAGATTTTTTTTTTCTATTGTTAATACAGATTAAACCAGTGTTTTTATTTTTATTTTCATCATCTGTACTGGATCTGCAAAGATGAGACAGTGATTCTTTGCTAAAGCTTGTTTATCTTGAACAGATTTGTTTACAAAAGGCTAATGAGACAAATGTACAAATTCACAGAAAGCTAATGATGTTCTGCGGGCAATAGCATCATGGGAATATTTCCTCTAGCAACTTTTTACTCTGTGACAGAGTGGAAAAAAGCCAGTCAACTCTGAGTTGGAAGGCACACATGCTACAATTAATTATGAACCAAGAGCATTTGATTATTGACACACACCTGAAACCAACACCACACGGTTTCCAAACAGAACAACATTTCAAACAAGGAAAAGCTGTTGGTGTGGGTTTATTGTTCTCCCCCTTTGCCAGCTACCTCTACCTTTTTAACAGGCACATCTTCACTTTGACACTCCAAACTATTTACTTTTCAAGTAAAAATTAATTTGAAAAGGCTATTTCTGGTTTGCGGCATTGGAAAAAAATATTCACATGAGCCATTTTGAGAGGTTAACAAACCAATACATGAAGACTCTGCCAGAAACAAGCCACTTACGTGATTCTCCCTGCCCCCACCCCTCTCCAAGAACCAATGTAGAATGGACCTGAAGGCAAGTGTCACGCGGTTTTGGCCAAAAAAATAGTTTGTTAGTACAGGCACATATCATACATCTTTTAAAAGGGGGGGGTGGGGGGGAAAAATCTGCTTTGTTCCTGCACTGCATGTCCTTTATTGACATCACAGCTGAGCAAGTATAAAACCCTACCAAATCTGATTAATGTTTCTAATTCACTTTCTGCATATTTAAGTATTTAAGATACAAGGAAGCAGAGAACAAACCCCAAAACACTCATGTATGTGTCTAAAATTTTGCTCACCTTCAGGGCACCATAGCACAGTCCATACAACAATGCTACTGCCACAATACTACAGATAAAACTGTAAAGTGCTGCAAGCAGGCTTGTGGTAGCTGAGTATCATAGAAAAGAAAGAAAAGTTGAACAGTGTTATGTAATTAGAATACAAAATACTTCAGCTCATTTAAGAAAGATATCAGCCTCCTAGATGCGACACCCCTCTGATAAAAAAAAAAATCCAACCCTCAGCACCTACTTGTACTTTCCACTACAAGTGATTTTTTGTTTTAAAGAGCCAATTGTTTTAAAGCCAATTTAGTGGCTTTATTTACCTCCTCATTTATTCAACAGCACTACCATGGGAATGATTAACAGCTGCAACAAACTAGTCAAAGAAGAAAGTATACTTTTTGACAGACTTACTAGGACAGTAATTCTATTTCTCAGTACTCAATCAGAAGACCTTTAGCCTTTTTTAAAAATACAGTTAGTATCTATGTTTAGAGAGTAGGAATACAAATTGTGTAATCACTAAATTTTTTTACTAGCCTACTAATCTGATGCTGCTTCCAATCTAATGCTTTTGCCACTGACATAAAAACCACTCACCATTGCCACCAAAGACATGAATATCCAGCTGTTCACAGAGATACATCACAAATGTATTCACCTGAGGCAGGAGACCAATGAAGAATACTATAGGGAAACATAGTGTAAACACTGTGGAGGAAAAAAATAGTTCAAAAAGTGGTGAGTATGAAAAACAGCACAGTAATGTACTCTTCAGTTTAAGTTCTAGGGTATCACACACAGCATTTCACTCAACATCACTGAATTATTTATACTATTATTTCTAAGGAAAACATCTATTACGTAAATCTCTACTTCAATGACTCAGAACTGACTGAATATAGAGGTTACATCAACCAATAGTCAGAAGATTTCTTGTACTTCTGTTTTAACCACTGTAGAAATGGGCACAGGCCAATTCAAGCTTTCCATTTTTATTTAGCAAAGATCAACCAGGAGTGTTTACAGATTAGAAGATTTGTAAGTTTTCACTCACTGCAAACTAGGCTTACCCAAACGAAACTGCCTGTCTGGAGTTACAGGAGCAAACTAACACCAGCCACACCGACATTAGAGAGGCCAAGCTTTTCACCTCTGGGTTTTCTGCCACTAATAATGCCTGACAATTTTACTCATTTTCCGATATCACTTCTGGACAGTTCTGATTCTGAATTACTTTTTTTTTTTTTTTTTAAATGAAAACAGGTAACTGTATGAACCATTAAAACCTCTACAAATTACAGGACTTCAGAATGCAAAGATAAATGAATGCCACATAATTTTAACACAAGGAATGGTATGTCCCAACCTGTACATATCATTTACTTTCCATCTTAAGGAATAAAAGATGCAGAAATAACAATCTTTTGTACAACTGTAAAGTAGTTCAGATATAATTCACAAGCAGCAGCATAAGTTCTAGGTTCTGAGGGACAGACGGATCAAACCATGAAAATAACCCTATGTGTTGGTTTTGCATGGCAAGGTTT